ACCAGGCAGCCACTAGCAGTGCCATACACCCCAATGGTCAGTTTGACAAATGCCAATAGCACTAAATGCAGGGATGAAAGCCTACTACCAGCACTGGAATATCCCATCAAACCCCAAGAATCAGAGCCTAAACATATCTCCCAGAAGCTCTTGCCAACCCATTATGGCTTCCATCCAACTCAGGATCAGCAAGTATTCCCCCTTTCACCGCACAGCCAGGTGTGCAGGCCAACACAGAAAATTTTGATTTGGAGTAACGCTCTACAAGCTTTGTGAAAGAGCCATTGGATATTTGTATGTATCCGCATGTACAAAGGCAAAGATTCCCAGATCCAGCCCCCTGAGTGCCCAACCTACATCGGCACAAGTGGAAAAATTATCTTGGACCTGGCATTTCCACTTTTGCAAAAAAAGATTATCACATCTACCTACCTAGACAATTTTAATACCAGTCTGCTCCTTTTCTGACACCTTTGCCTTGGAGAAAACCTTTGCCTCCAGAAAAAAACAAGAAGGACTTCCCACAAGCTCTAGTGAACATCAGGTTACAAATGGGGGAATCAGCAAGTCTAAGGTATGACAAACTGCTGGCCCTGAAGTGGAAGGATAGGAAAGACGCTTACATCCTTTCCACCATAAACAATGACACCGCAGTGGAAATACTGAAAAACACTGTCAGACACTGGAAGACACATTCAAAAGCCTGCATGCATCCAAGATTATAATCTTCACAAAGGTGGGATTTCAATGATCAGAAGCTACAGCACTATTTAGCAACAAGAAAGTCCCATTTGTGGTATAAAAATGTTGCCAATTTATCTTATTCATTTTGGCCATTTATAATGCATATGTCACCTACACCAAATCCACAGAGAGATCCACCACCTTCCTCAGATTTGAAAAATTGTCATATCCCTTCTCTACTAACAAGGATTCCCCCCAGAAAACATTTGTTTCTATTCTGTGAGTAGACTTTATGAGTGCCAATTCCCTGAGAGCATTCCACCAACAGAACCAGGCCGAAGACACCAAAAAAGATGTCAGGTATGCAGCAAAGGAGGAGTTAGAAGAGACAGCAGTTTTCATTGTCCTCAGTTTCCCTCCCAACCAGGTCTGTGCATCAGAGACTGCTTCTGATGTTTTCACACTTCACATAAAAATTGGCCCATATTTCTAACAGCCTGCCATATCCCCGTTTTCAATATCTCTGCTGATCATTTTCCTGCTGTCTCAATGAGCCTTGCCACTGCCTTTTACTTTAACTGACCCTGGCCTGTTTATCAACTATGCCTCTGCCTGCTGTCTGGATTATCAATCACGTTTATGCTTTCTTTATGGACTGACCTCAGCCTGTTAATTGACCATGTTTTTTTCTTGCTGCTTGTGTTGGTCTTTTGCCCTGCTACTGTAGCACTGGAATTCAGGATAACACAGGGGTCTCATATATGTAAGTGGCTTCAGAGTAGAGTTCTGAGTAGAGAAATCCAGTTTTTGATTTTCTCTGGTTTTGTAATTCCTTGAATAGGGTCTGTTTGTCTGGAGGCTTCAAAGAGATTGGGTGGGACGAAGCCTCTACCCCTGTACCTCCGTCCTACCTTCCTGAGACCCTAAGCCTAAAAAAGTTTTCATTTTCTTTCCACATTTCCGAAAACTTGTGGAAAAAAATGACATGTTCAGAAGACTCATTATGCCTCACAAAAAAATACGATGGAATGTTTTCTTTCCAAAATGGGGTAATTTTCAAAAGTGTAATAGATAGTCGGAAATTCAAAGTGTAATTTATACCCCTAGGACACCTGACAGTGCTCCTTGCATGTTGGGCATCTCCATGTGGCTAGGCTGTGAAAAAGTCTCACACATGTGGTATCACCAAACTCAGGAGGAGTAGCAGAATGTGTTTTGGGGTGTAGTTGCAAATATGCATATACCGTGTGAGAGAAATAATCTGTTAATATGACAATTTTGTGGAAACAAAAATCTTAATTTTCAAAAGAATGTGGGAAAAAAATACAACTTCAAACTTACTATGCCTCTTATTAAATACATTGGACTGTCTACTTTCCAAAAATTGGTCATTTGGGGGGGGGGGGGGGGTATATGTACTGTGCTAGCTTGTTAGTGACTCAAGAAATCAGTACATCAGGTGTGATCAGGTGCGATATTTTTTCATCGATTGGTACCAACTTGTAGACTCTATAACTTTCACACAGACAAAACAATATAGACAGATTTAGGTTAATTTTACCAAAGAGATGTAGCAGTATAAATTTGGTTAAAATTTATGAAGAAAACTACTTATTTGCTAAATTTTACAACAAAAAACAAAGAAAATGCATTTTTTCACATTGCAAACAATTAAAAAAACAGTGCTGCTTAAATACCACCAAAAGAAAGCTCTATTTGTGTGAAACAAAGGACACAAATTTCATATGGGTACAGTGTTGCATGACTGAATAATTGTCAGAGCACTGAAAGCTGAAAATTGGTCTGAGCAGGAAGGGTGTATAAGTGCCCAGTAGGCAAGTGGTTAAAGTTGCAAGTGAAAAATAAAAAGTACAAAAATTGCCCAGCCTCCTTAGATTAAAAGTCGAAAACATGACCTGGCAGTGGAGGCGTTAAATAAAAAATATTTTTTTTTTAAAGAATATTGGAGGTATCACCTTTCAGTTTAAAATGATCTATTAGAAAATGTTATCACAGACATGTAACAATCAGCTCTTTTGAAATAAGTTATAGCAATTTCACAGTTATAGCTGCAGTATTTTAACCTTGAAATGAGAAGTTTCCTTGAGCAATCTACTGATTGATTGGAAAAAAAATAAGTTAAAAAAAAGAGGTGCAGTGTTGTAATTGTTAGGAAAAATTAAAACATGTAGTACACCTGTATGTAAGACAACTTGCATGTACTTGCCACTGAAATCATTTGCATATTTGATTTTTATACATTCTTAGACACATATATTGAAAGAGTTAGTTCATCTTTAAGGGCATGTTGCAACCCCCCCCCCCCACCCCCCTCCATGGCTGGCATACTGGATTGTCTCCTATTTCCTTACACCCATGAAAACTCATTGTATACAACTTTCTCAAAATTGATGGTGTCAAACCTCTTCATTAGCTGAACCTTTCTGGCTATCTTTAACCTCCTTGGTGGTATGATTCTTTCCGATTTTTTTGTGCTGAAAGCGGTACCATTTTTTTGCATGGAAATATGTAGTTTTTTATTGTAGGCTGTAATTTTTAGGAATAACTCACTGAAATCTGTACGAACAAGAGTCTATTAAACATCCCGGGTAGGATAAAATTTGAAACACAAAATCATAAATTATAATTTAATAAATAATCATAAAAAATAATAATATAATAATAATAAATTTAATTCAATAATATAATCAAACCAAAAACACTGAAATTTGAAATACAGAGGCAAATTTGCACATCGCTGAGCAAAGTCACAACATCGTTTTCAGTGTCTGATGACGAATTTCCCCACGAATCATCACTCAATTCTGCAAGTGGTTCTGATTTACTATCGCTGTTCTAAAACCGCTTTTGACGTAAAGGGACGCTTTTTGGACGCCATGGGCTTTTCTAAGTTTCCAGGCAGAAAGAACATTCAAAATGCAGGCAGGTCACAGGACAAAGCAGTAGGGACAAAATACATGTGAAATGCATTGAAACAGCAATGACAGCAAAAATGACATTTTAAAAAAAATTTCAAATTTCCCGCCGGTACTGGCGCCCGTACGTCCAGACGTCAGAGGGACTGGAACACAGAAGCCGGATGCCGGCATCGGCCGGAGGAGATGGCCGGGGACGCTGCAGGGGACACATCGCGGGAGCGAAGGACAAGGTAAGTGCTGCAGAGACCCCCAGAGCAACGCCGCATGGTAAGCCCAAGTGTAGCTTTGCGCAGTGACAATGGTAGGACGTCATATGACGTCCTATCAGAATGAGAGAACCACCTTGCGCCCGTCATTGTACTATAGGGTGGGTGGAAGGTGGTTAATTACCATTGCTGTGTACATTTGCTTGTTTTTATTTTTCCTCAGAGATTGTCTTGTTTTAACATTTAGCTAAAACTTTGTGCATTAGTGCTGCCTGGACCTTAAGGAAGGGGTACACCCTAAAAGCCTGTCCTGAAAAATTGTATGTTAGTGCAAATAAAAAAAGTATCACAGACAGTACTCAATTGTTTCTGTTGCAAGTTCACTAAAATGGCTACAATTACCTCAAGCATGTAACAAAAGACTGCTTCCATGTTAGAGAGGAAATAAGATATGATATATTTAGGAAGATCATCTTGTTATTTTCTGTATTTTCTTCTTTCCTGGTATATATTCTGGAATAGTATATATAGAGTGACAGTGTTTAATACATTGTTGGAGGTCCAGTGGGAGACTTAAGTCCCTCTGTTCCTTCTCCCTTGCTTAGACTTTGTAAATTCAGAAGCCTACAGGGGTATAAGAAGTTGACTGGGGGGTCAAAAAGTAATGCCACTTACCAACTAACAAAAAGGCACCATTACTTTACTACCCATTAATTCACCAATATAAATATATTTCACAAGGGCATTGCTTGTAAAAGACCTGAGAAACCCTTGGACACACTGAAGAGTGAAAAGTCCAGTACACAATGGAAACTGGTGAATGCTGCACTTGGCCACTTCACACAGAGCAGTAAATGTTCTCAGCGTCTCATCGCATACATTGTGCCCATATTACACAGTCCTTATTCCCACAAAATATGCTTTAAGTAATATACTTTGTCCAAAGATGTGTATGTGTTTGACAAAGGGAACTGTCCTATTATGCTGTACAGTACTGTATATACTTTTCTGCATACAGAACATGGAAAACCTGTTAAGAACCTGACGTCCTCCCACTCTAACCACGCATGCGTAGCTCCAGGGCCGCGCACCGTGGCGATCGGTGATGCGCTGTGTCCCTCAGACACAGCGGATCACCGATCAACGGAAAGAGCCGAAGATGTCGGCTCGGTCATGTGATCAGCTGTGTCCAATCACAGCTGATCGCACGCAAATAGGGAAATGCCGGTTATCTGCATTTCTCTCCTCACGAGCTGTCACGCTGATAGCTTGTGAGGAGAGGAGAGCTGGTAATTGGCATTCCTCAGAGGGGACATGTACACTGATCATCAGGGCACTGATGATCAGTGTGCCCTGATGATCAGTGTAGCCCCAGCAGTGCCACCTGTCAGTGTCCATCAATGCCAGCTGTCAGTTCTCATCAATGCCACCTGCCAGTGCCCATTAGTGCCACATTTCAGTGCCTACCAGTGCACATCAATCAATGCCACATATCAGTGCCTACACGTGCACATCAATGCCACATATCAGTGCCCATCTAAGCTGCCTTTCAGTGTCACCTATCAGTGCCAGTCAGTGCCACCTATCAATGCTAGTCAGTGTCACCTATCAGTGCTGCCAATCAGTGCCACCTATCAGTGCCAGTCAGTGCAACCTATCAGTGCGCATCAGTGCCGCCTATCAGTGCTCGTCAGTGCTGCCTATCAGTGCCACCCATCAGTGCCAGTCGGTGCCACCTACCAGTGCCAGTCAGTATCACCTATCAGTGTTGCCAATCAGTGCCACCTATCAGTGCCAGTCAGTGCCGCCTATCAGTGCGCATCAGTGCAACCTATCAGTGCCCATCAGTGCTGCCTATCAGTGCCACCTAACAGTGCCAGCCAGTGCCACCTAACAGTGCCAGTCAGTGCCGCCTATCAGTGCCAGTCAGTTATGCCTGTCAATGTCCATCAGTGCCACCTACCAGTGCCTCCTCATCAGTGCCACCTATCAGTGCCCATTAGTGCAGCTTATCAGTGACCATCACTGCAGCCTCATTAGCGCACATCAGTGAAGGAGAAAAATCACTTATTTACAAAATTCTATAACAAAAATTAAGAAAAACCTTTTTTTTTTTTTCAAAATTTTCAGTTGTTTTTGGTTTGTTTACAAAAAAGGAAAAAACCCAGAGGTGATTAAATACCGCCAAAAGAAAGCTCTATCTGTCCCAAAAATGAAAAAAATTTCATATGGGTACAGTGTTGCATGACCGCCAATTGTCATTCAAAGTGTGACAGCGCTGAAAGCTGAAAATTGGCCTGGGCAAGAAGGGGGTATAAGTGCCCTGTAGGCAAGTGGTTAAGACAATACCTGTGGTTATTTAGCAAGCAAAAAAGGTTGAGACAATTGACTTTTTGGTAAAATTTAAATATATAAGTACAGAAATACACAAGATACAGCATGGCTTATAGCCTACAGTGTACATAGTACAGCATAGGACAGCATAGTGTACACAGTTTACTAGTCAGGAGCATGTAATATATAAGATGCCAAAAAGAGTACTGGGATAAAGGTTATGTAATGTGCAATATAGCAAACAGCTTACAGGAGTCAGGAATATGTATCCTATTAGCCCTCACATCGATATTCAATAGGCAGAAGACTATTCCATTATCTTAGCAGACAGAAATCCTCCTTATATTGGTGGTGAATTACATTTTTTTCATCCCACTGACCTAGTATATATGGGATATTCTTCCCCCAGATAGAATGTTAGGGGCACGGTTTCCACTGTTGAATCACCCTTGTATCAGTAAAAGCCAGCCTTTTAACATTGGCTGTTAGTAGAATAATGACTCCTCTTCTTTAGAATGTTTTCAACAGGAAAAAGGAAAAACTTTGATGTTAGTGGGTTACCTATATGATGTGAAGTCTGCTAAGTGACATTAGTGCAGGAATTCTGAAAACATCATTGGGTGAAGATTATTTAGTCCAGCATGACTTCAACATTGGTCAGTGTGCACACCAGCACCAGATACCCAGGCTTTGTATTACCCTTAGTATGACGGGGGAGTCTTCTACAGGATCAAGTTCTACCACTACCAAGGAGCCAGCAAGACTCTGCAGGCATTACATGGGGCGTTAGGTCAGTACAGTATAAGAAAATAGAGCAATATTATGTTTTTTGAAAACAGATGACAGGTAACTAGCTTTACAGTATGATTCTGATATGTAACTCCACCCATGATTTCTCAGCACCATCAGACTCCGTCCTCAACAAGGCTCTCTTTCACACTCATTCGTGGGCCAGTGATGCAGATACACATCAATCAAAATGAACAACATTCACCTAGCAAATGAACCTGCTGACTGACTGACACATTAGATCATGTTGCTACACTTGCCACAAATGACAGAGGAAGTAGTTATATACTGTATAGTAGTGGTAAAAAAAAACTTCACTATATATGACATGTGGATCCTGCCGAATGAGCCAATAGTCTGCCATTTGATCGAACATCCAAACCTGTATCTGAACCAAACCAAGAGCTCATCTCTGCTTACTGCCCATGAGGACCATAATTCAGAAATTAACCCATGGTTCTGTGAATGGTGGACCCAAGGAGATAGGCAACAGATGCTAGATTCTAAACACAGTTGTGAATATGATATAGAACCCAAAAAGCCAAATCACACTCTAAATTCCAATTAGAAAAAACTTTCAACCCTTGAGAGCTCAAAATTATATACAATTATTCCAAAGAGAATCTCCCCCTCTTTAAACAAATACCCAACTGAGATATATAAACAAAGCACACCCCTTAAAAGTGATAATTAATAATCAAACCAATCTGTTTAGATATACATATATGGATCTACCTAAGTATGCGTTATAGGACATAGGTGTTATGCCATATGCGGATGTCCATAGCCCTGTGTTCCGATTGAACGGGGAGGGTAGTCAAGACATTTTAAGATCCTGCTGTTCGGTTGAGTATGGGCGACTTTTCCCTGACTCAATATGGCGATCAGAGCATCACTAACAGGCTGAGGAGCGTTATATATTGCGGCCAGGTGTCCCGATGTTCTTATCTCTTATGACTAAGTCCCGGATGTGACGAAACACGTCAAGAGGAAGTGACGTTGGAGCAGGAACCGGAAGTGCCACGGTGGCCATCTTTGATGTGGGAAATCGCTGTACACTTCATATGGGAACTGCCTGGTAATCCCCAAAAAACTGGGGCATTGATCCATATGCATTTCTGATTGTTTTTAAATGTAAGCAGATATATTAAAACAGTATGTTCTCATAAATATACGGAGTTACTCTATGGTCATTTCCTATTATATGATTGGAGCCTGGCAATTTGGGATCAAAGCTTATGAATGATCATGGAAGGATGATAGCACAGTGTTACTCTGCAAACAAGTGAAGGAGGAGAAAGATTTGTTGGATGATTTCTACAGTTGATACCTTAAGGCGTTTGTTTTCTTACTGTTGGTAAGGGTATATGTGCCTTATTTATTAGAAGTGCCACACGTGGGTTATGGCTTTCACTGAGTGAAACACTTCAGGATTGAGCACGAGTGCTGTTTGACAATTTTTTCACGAGTGTTTCACTATTTTTGTGTTTCACGCAGTATTGTATATTTGAATATATATATATATATTTTTTTTTATTCTCTTAATGTTACGGTAATACACTATCTGAGTTTCTTTTATTTTTGAGGTTTTCACAAAAGTCACCGGATGCAATCAACACTATAAGAAAATTTCAAGTTCATCACTTATATTTCTGTTTTGAGTGCTTTTTGAACTATTTAGATGCTAGATTCTGCCAGTTACTATCCTAAGTGACACATTTAGATCCATCTCCCAACTTTGCTCAATGTGCAACCAAATTAGATAAAATTTTAATAAAAATGTACATTACCCCTTTAAATTGCTTAAATATATTCACGTGGAAAGAGAAGCGCATTCTCTGTTTCCTTTAAAGGATTGAAGGCTTGCACCCATGCAGCCCTACACACTCTGTGAGTAGGCTCTAAGGCTGGCCATACACTATACAATTTTCTGTCCAATTTCTGCACAATTTCCTTTAGATTTACCTTCAACTATGTAGTGCAAGAGCCTACCTAATTGGATACAATTGAAAGTGTTGTTAGTTTTGACCTCCTATTATATGGTTTTTGGTAAATCTAAACCAAAAATCTCACGAACGTTGTATAATGCATGGTCAGCCTAACTCCCTGGCTTTAGTTTTCATTCTCCCCTCCCAGATCTCCTTTGCAAAAAAGACACCTGATGCTTAATATGGCTGTATAGGAAGTTTCCTACAAACAACAAATTTTACACTTGTGCATTACCTTTCTCTCTTCTCCCTTTCCCAGTGTTGAATGCCCCCCAAAGCGATGTTACTTTCTCCTGTGTGTCATTTCCCCCTTTGCCATCACCCTGAACTATACACACACCTCCCAAGGATTGCAGGGAAGGCAGACTGCACACTATGCTACAGCATAAAAACAAAAGTTTATACAGACATAGCTTACACAGTCAAAGAATAGATATAATGTTGTTGTTGTTGTAAGACTAGTTTGAAGATTATGGGGACAATATGGCAGAAATAATATTTTTCCCGAATGTAAAACTGGCATTATTATTTTATATAATCAACCAATGTTGACATAGGAGTTGCATTTTTGTTGACACACAAACTACCTGCAAAAGACAGTGACAAAATGTTCTCTTTGCTTGTTATAAACTTATTTGTGCAACTGCCCTTTTTTGCTTTGTTGAATTTGGTGTGAGTTCTAAGGATATATTTGGTTCTTATAGTACTGGACCACCTTTAGTATATTTGTATATATTTTCCATTCTGTTATGGTTTTCCAGATATCTTTACCATCTCTCTTGGCTTTTTTTTACCAGCTTTAGTTAGTGCAGGCATAGAAGAAGAGTTAATGCTTCACAAGGGAACATCTTGCTAATTTCTACATTAAATAATATGTGAACCCAACATTTCCTATTCCAGATGCAGTGTGTGCCTTCTGCATCATGTCCCTGTATGGAAAAGTATCTTGTTCTCTTAGTATTGTTTCTTTTGGGTGAAATCCCTGGTGTTTCTGTCAGTCACTCTGCTTTCCTATTAAACACTGACCACACTAATCATGAGATCACACTGTGGTCAGTTGCAGTATCTAGCTGTGCTGGGAACTCAGTGAGGTTGATTTACTAAGATTGCAAAATCTGGTGCAGCTGTGCTTGGTAGCTCCTAACTTCAGCGTGTTCAATTAAGCTTTGGCAATTAAACCTGGAAGCTGACAAATTCAATCTCCAGTGGACACAAATTCAATCTCCAGTGGACCCGATGGCTAAAGCACCCAAAATGTAATATACAACCTTGATGACATCTCAGGAAATGAACTCACACCCTACACCAAGACTGGTATCTACTCAATTCCCCAGTTATATTCCTCCCTCCCCAATTCTACCCTCCCCCCACCTCTCCACCAACATTCCCCCCTAATTACCCTAACTCCTCACCAAAGCCCTTCAAAGGCACACAAATACCTCTGATGATATTGCTAAACAAGACCAATACCCCATTTGTCCAGATGGCAGATCTACAACA